TAAGAATAGGTAGGGCTTGAAACCGTTGAATAGCGGCCAATTTTAGTTGCAACTTACGTTTCATATTACCTAGAACCCGCCAATTCCAATTTTGCAATTGAGAAACCACCGCCTTCATTTTACCTGACACCAGCTCAATTCCAGAGAGATTACTATCCTGATTCCATTCCCTTGTAATTATTCCTTCACAATCATCCTCTCGTAACCACATTGCTTTAAAGTGATACAACTTCTAACATTTCGGCCTTTGAGCCACCTGAGCTTTAACTCCTTCCAGATTTAACAATATAGGGAGATGCTTAGGCGATGTACCTCCCAAGTGGTAGACCCTAGCCAGCGGAAAAGAAGTAAGCCACCTCCCATTAGCCACACATCTATCCAATCATTCTCGGATCATGGCTCCGCCTTTCCGACCATTGCACCACGTAAAAGTCGCCCCTTCAAAGCCCAGATCAGCTAAGTCACAATCCGAGAGGACCTGCCGGAACCCATCCATCTGCCTTTGACTTCTCGCCGCCATCCCAGACTTTTCATGAGCATACAAAATTTCATTAAAATCTCCAGCTCACACCCATGACAAATTCATATGATCCTGAAGTCGTTTCAACAGTTCCCAAGAATCACCCCTCAGAGAAACGATCGGATTTTCATAGAACCCTGTAAAACACCATGATGCAGCTCCAGACTGAGAGAGGATTATGGAATCAACATGGCCCTTTGAATAGATTTTAATCTGTAACCGAATCTCACAAACCCATAATAATGCTAAACCACCCAAGAGCCCCACTCGATCAACCGTAAAACACCCCTGCATACCAAGTTTACAGCAAATTCGCTCCATAGCTCTAGTATTAAGATTGGTTTCCACCAGGAAAACCAGAGCAGACACTTCATTCTTCAACGAAAGTTGAAGAAAACGAACTGTCCGTGGGTTCCCAAGCCTACGGCAGTTCCAACAGATGGTTTTCATTGCTTTCGGCGGGGCTGGGGCCCAGCCACCGCCGTTGAATCAGAACCGATCATGATAACATCAAGCCGAACCCGTTTCTCCTTTGAAAATCCTTCATTTGCATTCACCTCCTCACCAATCAAACTCCGCTTCACACCCACTTGTAACTCACCAGACCTAGTAGCCCCATTTTGATTACGACCTATTTTCTTCTATTTCTTCCCCGCCCTACCAGCTGGGGCTAAGGACACAAGAGGCTCCTATCTGATCACCAAATCTGGTTTTGACAACACTAACCCTTTATCTATATCCATCAAATGAGAGGGTAAAGATGGGCCTACACATTTAGCCAATCCAGATGAGTCCAAACTCGCAGTGTACCCTTTAGTCAAAGCAAAGTTGGACCCCATAGAGTAAGCCTCATGGGTTTCATTATGAAGTAACACGCCATCCTGATTGAGTTTCTTTTGAGAGGAGTCCACCTCCACTACCACTAGCCCACAATGTTTAGGCCCAGATTTCAAAACCTCAGAGTTCAGCAACCGTTCCCGTTCACCTTCCTCCTGGGAAGGCAATAAATCCCTAACGTCCCCCATCATCGCCAAAATCTTCTCCTGCTTATACGCGAATTAACCATCCTTTCCCAACCGAGAGGCTCCTTCCAAACTAGGATATGACACACCCACACTTTGTAACAACCCGTATTCATGTCTTAGTCATGTTCATGAGCATTTGTATGATTACGACTCGTTAAGCTTGCATTTTTATGTTTTTGACTTGTTTTGCCTAAGTAAGGTACATGCCTTGTTTTGTGTTCATGTTATTTGCTTAAGTGTTGTGTGCATGCTTTGCTCCTTCCTTGATGTTAAGCCTAGGACATACCAAGCCTAAGTTATGTTAAGCCTAGGTCATGCCAAGCCTAGGTTATGTTAAGCCTAGATCATTCCAAGCCGAGGTCACCTTCAGCATAGAAATTGCCTTGGAACCCCTTTGTTTGACCTCCACCCTTGACATATTGGCCGAGATGTCATTATCTAGGCCGTTGAGATGTGTATTATCTAGGCCGAGATGTTACCTTTGCACCTAAACGATCTTGTCCTGGAGTGGTATGACCTAGACCGAGGTGTGGCACATCTAGGCCAAGGTGTGGCACAGCTTAGTCAAGTGTTGTCCTTCCTAGCCGAGGTCGTGGTCACCTTAGTTGCCGAAGCTTTGTCCTTAGCCGATGTCACCCCTTGCCGGAGTGCCTTACACTCGAGCTTGTTAGATACGCTTTGTCATAGTCTTGTCTTGTCAATCTATCACCTTTTTTAGGAGAACCAACCAATCGTTGCCACGTGTCCGAGCTGAGTGTTAAGTCAGCCGACAGAGAGAGAAACCTATCATTTGTTATATCTTTGTTTTAAAGAGGAGAGAGAAGCTTTAAGAGAGGAAGAAGAGTTCTTGAGGGAGAGTGGATTTCTAAGCTTGATTCCTAGAGATCCAATCGTTAGATTCGTGTTCTAAGGTTAGAATCTTGATCTGCTCTTGTCGTTCTTTATGTTTATGTTATTGCATTGCATGATTGAATATGATTTGTAAGCCATGCATCGCTTTGAAGTTCGGTTTTAGAAAGAGGAAATAGCATTCACGTGTTCTTCAAGAAAAATCATGTTTTGATCAGAAACCTCATGCCAAGATCCATGTTTTTGTGTTTGTTTTCACACGATTTTCAAGTATGGGTACCCAGGTCCATGTTTTCGAACTCATAGCATGAAATCCCAGATTTTGTAAATAAAGAAGTTATGATTTTGGCATCCATGTTCTTCATGATCTTCATGTACATGTTCTTCCTGTTCTTCACGGGTGGAAACCCAGATCTCCAGACCTCACTTCCCGAGGTGTAGTCGCCGAGATCACTCTCGCCTAGACCTCACACTTAGGCCAAGCATCATATCTCACCTTGGCCTACCTTGCACGATCATTTACACCTTTAGTCGTCTTGAGCGCACCTCGGCATGCAGCCGCACCCCGAAGCCTAGGTAGCCACACCTCAGGTAGGAGGTGTGGGACCTCGGCAATGACCTAGTTGGTACCCAACATGTCTTCCTGACATGTAAAATAGTGTTTTGACTTCCAGCATGTTTTTTCGAGATCATTGCATGCATGTGAGACCTGTTTTGAGAAGTATGCTCAGTATATTTTCCATGTGTTTGTAGGACTTGGACCTTGCCTTGATCCCGACGTCCCAAGAACTAATGTGAGTGGTATTTTTAATAAAGTTATATTATAAAGATTTGATAAAGCCTTGTTTCGTTCTGATAAAAGTATTTGATCAAGCATGAATGATTACCCCTATTTTTATGTATCAAGTATAAGTTTTGCGTATCAAGTATAAGTTTTGTTTTGATGACATTTTCGGAAAGTCCCTTGTGCTGGAGGACTCTAAACTTTCGCAGCACATCTTGTTTTGAAAGTCCCTTGTGCTAGAGGACTCTAAACTTTCGCAGCACATCTTGTTTTGAAAGTCCCTTGTGCTGGAGGACTCTAAACTTTTGTAGCACCCTTGATTTGTACTCTAGTGTTAAAGGGCTACGGGTCTTTGTAACATAGGTCCCTTGTGCTGGAGGACTCTAAACTTTCGCAGTACATCTTGTTTTGAAAGTCCCTTGTGCTGGAGGACTCTAAACTGTCGCAGCACATCTTGTTTTGAGGGTCCTTTCGTGCTAGGGGACCTTAAGCCTAAGTAGCACTGTCCTTTCGTGCTAGGGGACGTTAAGCCTAAGTAGCACCCTTGTTAAGATATCGGCCACCGACGGACTATGAACGGGTGTGCTCGATACCGAGGTTATGCTTTTGATTTGAAAAACCGAGGTTATGCCGAGGTTATGTTTTAAGATTTGACATATGTTAAGTAAGTAAGTAAGTTCTGAAAGACCAAGTTTCGAATGACGTTTTATTTCAAGCCAAGCTAAGCTATGTTATGTATGGTTTTGACAAGGATATAATATGTATTGTTTTGTAAAGATCTCGGGTATCATTCATTTAACCCCTTTATTACTTATACCATTCACTGAGTATCCAAGATCACCCTCCCTATGTATATATGTAGGTAACAAGCAAGAAGTCGGCTACGCCGAGATGTGTGTGTGTTTTGCACGTATGTTATGTCGGCAGTGAGGATGTCGGCAAACTGGAAGATTATGTTTCATGATTTGTGGCTCAAGTGTTTTTGTTTATGTCGGCAATCTTGAAGTTTATGTATTTTGAACATGTCGGCTCGAGAAGCCTTTTATCAAGATGTAATATGTATTTTTGTACCTCATTTTATTTATATTCAAGTTTTAAAGCTATGTAAAGATGTATGCCATTCCATTTGACTTATGCACTGCTCTTGTGGACCACTTGTATTTTAAATTATTGTTTCTGCACTTGTGAGTCCCATACATTTATACTCTGATTGTGTGTGAATTTTGAAAGTTGGCCTTCGATAATTTCGGATTACTGGCCATCATGGCACCAAACTACTAGGGGCGGTTTGGGGTCGTGACAGAATGGTACCAGAGCACAAGTTCCTTATAGTACGTTATTCACACACTTTGAGTCCTAAAGAGCATAGGATGTCCCTTAGAATGATTTTAGGATTGCATCATATTGCTTGCTACTTGACAAGGTGTGCATCATCTCGCCATGAGCATTTGTTACATCGGCATGATCATGTTCACTTGCATACATGCTCATTTGTTCATTTTGTTTTAAGAGTCACATCCTGCATACTCCTAGCATCATGAGAAGAGGTAGAACCCTAGTTGGTCGAGATCAATCCGAGGACAGAATAGACAGATTAGAAAGATTGGTTGAAAGTTTGGCCGATGAGTTAAGGCAGGCAAGGCAACAGAACACCGGTACCACCTCCACCCAGGCCGCGCAGACGGATGGTCGACATGTAGTTCCACCACCGCCAGTACCACAAGTGCCTCCGCAGCCAGCTTTGTATGGAGATGACACATTGACCCTGATCAGAGAATTCAAGAAGATGAAACTGCCGTAGTTCCATGGAGGTATAGAGCCGATGAAGGCAGAAGCATGGGTTCTTGAAATGGAGAAGTTATTCGAGGTTTTTCCCAGCATTGACACTCAGAAGGTGTCATTAGCAGCATTCACATTGGAAGACGAGGCTCGTAGATGGTGGATGATGATTCGAAAAGGTAACCCAGACTTGACTTGGGCCAGATTTTCGGAGCTGTTCTATGACAACCATTTTCCACGCAGTGTCCGAGATCGCAAGACCACAGAATTTCAGATGTTGGCACAGGGTAGCAAAACAGTGGCAGAGTATGATCGTGCGTTCACCGAGTTGGCAAGGTATGCACCTCACATGGTCGACAACGAATACAGAAAAGCTAGGAAGTTTGAGAGTGGACTTCGAGGGCCGATACAAGATCAAGTTAATTTGCTCAACATGCCGACGTATGCTGGAGTGTTAGATAAAGCCATCCTTGCAGAAGCTAACCTGAACAGAAGTCAAAGTTCGGGGAAGAATCAGAGGAAGAGGCAGACCTACGACAATCGCGAAGAAGTGGCAGACCCGAATGATGCCGAGGAGAAGACAGAGGAGGATAGTCCCAACAGCGCGAATCAGGAAGGTGGCACCAGGCCGACATGTGGGAGTTGTGGGAAGCTACATTTTGGGGTTTGTCTTCGGGCAACTGGAGCTTGTTTCGGATGCGGCGAGAGAGGTCATCGCATTAAAGATTGTCCCAAGGTAAAAGCTAGAGATGATCAGAAGAGATGAGAACTCGACATCCGGAGCCGTTTTGGGAACAAGGTAAGCGAAGTTTGGGGACCAAACTTCTTTAAAGGGGGAAGGATGTAACAACCCGTATTCATGTCTTAGTCATGTTCATGATCATTTGTATGATTACGACTCGTTAAGCTTGCATTTGTATGTTTTTGACTTATTTTGCCTAAGTAAGGTCCATGCCTTGTTTTGTGTTCATGTGATTTGCTTAAGTGTTGTGTGCATGCTTTGCTCCTTCCTTGATGCTAAGCCGAGGACATGCCAAGCATAAGTTATATTAAGCCTAGGTCATGCCAAGCCTAGGTTATGTTAAGCCTAGATCATTCCAAGCCGAGGTCACCTTCAACATAGAAATTGCCTTGGAACCCCTTTGTTTGGCCTCTACCTTTGCCTTGACATATTGGCTGAGATGTCATTATCTAGGCCGAGGTGTGGATCACCAAGGCCGAGATGTGTATTATCTAGGCCGAGATGTTACCTTTGCACCTAAGCGATCTTGTCCTGGAGTGGTATGACCTAGACCGAGGTGTGGCATATCTAGGCCAAGGTATGGCACAGCTTAGTCAAGTGTTGTCCTTCCTAGCCGAGGTCATTGTCACCTTAGTTGCCGAAGCTTTGTCCTTAGCCGATGTCACCCCTTGCCGGATTGCCTTACCGAGTAGATTGTTAGATACGCTTTGTCATAGTCTTGTCTTGTCAATTTATCATCTTTTTAAGGAGAACCAACCAGCCGTTGCCACGTGTCCGAGCTGAGTGTTAAGTCAGCCGGCAGAGAGAGAAACCTATCATTTGTTGTATCTTTGTTTTGAAGAGGAGAGAGAAGCTTTAAGAGAGGAAGAAGAGTTCTTAAGGGAGAATGGATTTCTAAGCTTGATTCCTAGATATCGAACCGTTAGATCCGTGTTCTAAGGTTAGATTCTTGATCTGCTCTTGTCGTTTTTTATGTTTATGTTATTGCATTGCATGATTGAATATGATTTGTAAGCCATGCATTGCTTTGAAGTTCGGTTTTAGAAAGAGAAAATAGCATTCATGTGTTCTTCAAGAAAAGTCATGTTTTGATCCGAAAGCTCATGCCAAGATCCATGTTTTTGTATTTGTTTTCATATGATCTTCAAGTATGGGTACCTAGGTCCATGTTTTCGAACTCATAGCATGAAATCCTAGATTTTGTATAAACAAGTTATGATTTTAGCATTCATGTTCTTCATGTTCACCAAGAGGAAACCCAGATTTCCAGAGTTCACTTCCCGAAGTGTAGTCGCTGAGATCACTTTTACCTAGACCTTACACATGGGCCAAGCATCGTATCTCACCTTGGCCTACCTTGCATGATCACTTGTACCTTAGTTTGTCTTGCATGATTACCTCGGCAAAGACCTGGTTGGTACCCAGCATGTCTTCTCGACATGTAAAACAGTGTTTTGACTTCCAACATGTTTCCCGAGATCATTAGCACGTATGTAAGACTTGTTTTGAGAAGTGCATTCAGTAGACTTTGCTATGTGTTTGTAGGACTTGGACCTTTTCCTTGATCCCGACGTCCCAAGAGCTATGTGAGTGGTATTTTTAATAAAGCTATGTTATAAGTTTTGATAAAGGCTTGCTTTGCTTTGTTTTGAAAGTATTTGATAAGCGTGAATGATATCCCTATTTTATGTATCAAGTATAAGCTTTTTTGCGTATCAAGTAATAAGTTTTGTTTGACTGAACATTTTCGGAAAGTCCCCCTTGTGCTGGAGGACTCTAAACTTTCGCAAACACATCTTGTTTTGAAAGTCCTTGTGCTGGAGGACTCTAAATTTGAGCACCTTTGATTTGTACTCTAGTGTTAAAGGGCTACGGGCCTTTGTAACATAGGTC